CCCCGGCCGGGCCTGCGGGGGGTGCTCTTCCGCCGTGTGGCGGGCACTGCGCTGGCCTTCCGCACCCTCGTCACCCGCATCTCCAATGACCTCGAGCTCTGAGACACCAAGGGCCTCCCCCTCTGGCCCTTTCCTCTTTCTCTCGTGCCCCTATCGCTTCTTCGGAGTGGGGCAATAGGCAGCAAGGGGGCTCCCCCTTTGTCATTGCCTCCATTTCCCTGAATCAGAATTGGGGAGCAGAGAAGATTCCCTCTGCTGGTTGCACGGCAGGCAAGAAGGAGGGAGCTTAGCAGGAGTAGCTGGTGCCCCCCTCGACCTGCCATGGGGCACCCGTGGAAACTTTAGGGGGCGGAGGGGGAGGGCAGCACAAAGAGAAGCTGGAGAAAAAAAAATGCTTCCATTCTTAATAACACGAGGATTCGGGCCAGGAAGAACGCTGACATTACTACAGACTGGAGAATTTTGGGGTGGGGGGGCAGGAGTAGGGTTCAGAGAGGCAGATTCCTCCCCCCTCCCCCTCATGCTCGAACCCCCTTCCTGCCCCAGGCTGGCGCGGGGCACTTTGTACAAATCCTTGTAGATAATCCAGGTCCCGCCCCCCCCTCGCCCCTTCCCTCCGCAGAGGTCTCACAAGTAGACATCGCTGTTGCTTCCGGGTTTTTAAGTTATTACACCCCCCACCCACCCTCCTCATCCACCCCACCCTCCTGCAGCCTGTCGCCCAGTAAACTTAGGACAGCCCTTCTCCCCTCCCCCACTGTGCTGAGCCTGGGGTCTTCCTTCCCCGCCCCCCCCTCAGCAAGGTGGAGGAGGAGGTGGGGTGCGACGTTGAGCCTGTGGCTTTGCCTCCCGTCTCGGGGTCCTCATCTGCAGAATGTGAGCAGTGGGGGCGTGAGCGCCCAGGATGAACTAGACATTCTTGGGACAGAACTCGGCCTGGTCCACAAGGCCCCAGCTGCGGGGTCAGGGCCCTCCCCAGTTCACCCACTCATGCGCCCACCTGCCCGCCTGCCACGTGACACTGGACTCCCAGCCACTTCTTACTCCAGTCGTACATTTATTCAATAAATAGTCCTTGACCAGTGTCTGCTCCGAGCCAAGCCCCAGTGGCAGACAGGGGGATACAGGGACCTCCACCCCCATCCTGAGCACTGCACTGGGTTCTGGAGAACTTGCCAGAGAAACCTATTGCCTGGCTTGGGAAGGTTTCCTGAAGGAAATGCTGCTGCTGCTGCCTGCTGTGATTGGGCTTGGAAAGATAATTAGGTGTTGGCCAGACATGGCGACCTGTAGTAAATGCAGTGTTAAGCTGGGTGTGGGGTAAGGAGTTGACGAGAAACGGTATACTAATGGTGTCTGGCTTCAGGTAGGATTGGATCCAGGCGCCAGGCCACTACTGCTGGCTTTCTGTAATGCCTACTTTCTCAAGCACTCTGCCCTTTGGGGTCGGTGATCGCTTGCAGTGCCAACCTTGAATCTCTCGGGGCTTAGTTAATATAGCAGGAAGATCCTCAGATGTATAGAAGGGGGAGGGGCTGCCCACAAAGTCCCAGGGAAGGCTCTCAGTGGCCTGAATAAGCCATGTGATCATCCGTGAGCCAGAGTAAACTGCATAGAGCGGGTTTCTCCAAAGGAAAGTGAGTGGGAGAGACGGCACAGAGGTAGAAGGCTGTGCAGCACAGGGCTTGTGTCCCCGGGGCCTGTGTGTGTGTGTGTGTGTCAAAGCAAGGCTTTCTCTGCCAGGCCCTGCCTCCCGGAGCTCACATTCCAGTGAGGTGGACAGACCTGTCCCTAGACAGTAATGATCCAAGTGAGCAGGACTGAGATGGGGGTGCCTAGGACTAGGGGTCACTGAGAGGTTGGACACCTACCTCTGGCCAAGGAGATCCTCCTGAAGGCAGCATGGCTGGCTTACCACCCGAAGGCCGAGAGCAGCTAGCTGGATGAAAGGAGTGATGTGGGTTCCAGGTGGCCGCAAAGGCTAGGGAGCCAGAGAGCCCAGGTCCGTCAGAAGTGGCATAGGACTTGGGGTGAGGACAGCAGAGAGGACCCCAAACTCTCCTAAGGGCACTGGGGGAGCTAGGGAGGGGTTGTGAGCCGGGACAGGCTTGTGTTGTGGGTAGGATAATGGCCGAGGAGTAAGGGAGACCGGCCAGGAGACCCAGGAGGAAAGTGGGGCAAGAAGGGGTGGACTCAAGGGAGATGTCTGGGCAAGACATGGCAATGTCTGGGGTCTGTCTGCAGAAGGGGCCTTGGTGTGTCCCACTGTCCCTCCTGGAGTCTGGGTAGCCTCAGAGCAGTGTTGCTAGGATTTTTGCCGGACTCCACTCTAGGATAAGTGGGTCAAGAGCATCCCAGCCTTTCACAGGTCCTGCATGACCTCTGGGCTCTCCTACTCATCTGTAACTCCTGGAGACGCCCTTGGCCTGGAGTTTCTCCAGCTGTCAAATGCATAGGAGGGAGGGGTCCTCAGCCCTCACTCAAAAGGCTTTTAAAAAACCGGCTGCGTATCTTGGAAGGCTCTGCCTGCCATGCTCAGGGTCCCAGTTCCTCCCAACCCTTTTGCCTCTTTTTGGGGTCCACCCACCATGCCCTGGCTTAAGTATCCCTCAGCCTAGTGGACTGATGGAGGTGCTCTAATCAGAAGACGGTGGCCTTCTGTCACCTAGGCCTCCCACTCTTAATTGTCCCCCAGTGACCGCCCTCTCTCAGCTCCGTGCGCCAACCTCTCCAAAGTGGGCTCTCTAGCGACTCCATGGGGCGTGCCCCATCTCACTCAGTCAAGGTCTGTGGGAGGAAGCAGCTTCAGCAAAGACGTTCTGAGGGGAGGCCTGGTGGGTGTAAGAGCCAAAAGCAGAGCAGTGGGAAACCACTGAAAAGCTTGTCTTCCGCAAACGGTGGGCATGGCGATACCCTTGGAGAAGAACTTGTATTAGAAGCGCCTGCTAAGGAGCCCTGGTGGTAGAGTGGGCTACACGTTCAAAGCCACCAGCAGCTCCCCAGGAGAAGGATGAGGCTGTCTGCTCCCGTAAAGAGTTCCAGCCTCGGGAACTCCCAGGGGTAGGCCTACCCTGTCTTTTAGGGTTGCTATGAGTCAGAATCAACTCTGTGGGGTTCTGTTCTGTGCAGAGCTTCGGGGAGACATGGAAGGTTCTTGAGCAAAGTCAGGGGCACTCGCTAGAATGACCGCTGTTTATAAAGGGACGATGCAGAGCTGTAAACTACCACTGAGTGCCCCAAAAGGACCAACAAATCTGCCCTGAAAGAAGTATACCACGGTAGTGTTCCTTAGAGGGGAAGATAGGGCAGCTCTGACATCCTTTGGACATGTGGTCAGGAGAGACCAGTCCCTAGAGGATAGCAGGCTTGATAACGTAGAGGGGCGGGGAAAGGAAACAGGCTGACACGAAGCACAATTAGGGTGGTAACAGGCCCGCCTAGGCAGTGTTTCTTTCTGTTGTGCTTAGGGTCGCTATGAAGTCAGAGCACAGGAAAGCCAATGAGGAGGCTTGAAGGAGACCACAGGAGAAGCTCCCCAGCACCACAGGGGGGAAAATCGTGATGGAGGAAGCAGTGATGAGCTATAGCGGGGCAGGGTGTCCCAAATGAGTGGCCCCCGGCCCAAATTCAAGCCTCAAGCATTGTGGTTCTGCCCCTTCTCTATTTGGATTCAAATGCCTTCAGGCTTTTCATTCACACGGGCCAGCCTACATGGCTCTGGTGTGGACGCTGTGCTTGGAATTGGAGAAAAGTTCAGAGTGGCTAGGGCAAGTGGCCTCAATGTCCTGAGCTGATTTGGTGACATTGGGCAGATCACGACACCTATCTGGGCCTCAAGATTCCCCAGAAACTGAAAAAAAAAAAAAAATCCTTGCCATCGAGTGGATTCGGACTCACTGGGGTTGTAACTCTTTAACGAGAGCAGACGGCTTCATCTTTCCCCTGCAAAGCAACTGGTGGGTTTGACTGCCAAAACGGGAGGCCAGCAGGGTGAAGCGTAACCTGTCAGCACCACCAGAGTCTCATACCAAAAATCCACCGCTGCCAACACACCAAGTCTGAATCATAACGACCTGACTGGACAGAGTAGAAGTCCACAGGATTTCCAAACTGTAACTCTTTCTAGGAGCAGGCAACTCCTCTTTCTCCAGAGGAGCTGCTGGTGGGTTTGAACTGCTGACCTCACAGCAGCCCAATGCGTGACCTACTATTCCAGGGCTTCTCTCGCTCCCCCCTAAAGCCTTGTCATTGTGGGCCTTATAAATACCATGGGCCCATGGCATTTTCCATTGCCTCCCATGCATGTGAAAGTAGGACCCTGAATATGGAAAATCAAAGAGAGAGTGTGGTGCTGGCGAAGACTATTGAAAGTACCAAAAAAAATAATAATAATAAAAAATTAAAAAAAATAAAGTACCATGGAGTGCGGAAAGGGCAAACTGATCGTATAAGAAGTAAGGCCAGAGTGCCCCTTAGAGGCAAGGATGGCAAGACCCCATCTTACATACTTGGGACATCTTGTCAGGAAAGACCAGTCCCCCGGAGAAGGACATCACACTTGGGGAAGTCGAGAAGCAGTGACAAAGGTGGAAGGGCCTCCCTCAAAGAGATGGATTGACACAACGGCTGCCACAAGGGGCTCGGGCATGGAAGGATGGCACAGGCCCGGGAGGTGTTTCCTTCTGTTGTGCTCTCGAGGATCGCAGCCAAGGCTTCGCCAAGAGGCCACCAGGGCTCAAGGGCACTTGAAACAGTGACTGTCATCCAGTCAGTGCTGACTCATCGTGACCCCCGGTGTGTGTCCGAGACTGTCACTCTAAACAGGAGTAGAAAGCCCAGTCTTTCTCCCTAGGAGCGGCTGGTGGTTCCAAACTGGCCATCATGCAGATCGCAGCCCAACGCTTAACCACGACCCCACCAGGGGTCCCCAACAACAGCCCTAGGGAAAGGGCAGCACTTAGCTATCACACAGCATCCAGTGGCAAAAAAAGTTACCCTTCTGGAGCTATCGCACACACAGCTAAGGCCACCATTGCTTTTATTACTTGGGGCGAAAGAAAAAGCCCATGGGAGCTCCCCGCTCTCCCTTTAAACCCGGCTGCTGGTGGTGGGCGGAGCTCTGGGAAAGAGAGAGGTTTTTCATTGGCCGGAGCCCAGAGAGAGGTTGGAGCTCATGGGTTAAAACTCTGGTTGGGGTTAGAAATCCGAGGTTCCAGTTGGCAGAGTGATTGTGGGCAGGGCTCCCGGCGGAGGGGCGGGGCTAGTTGGTGAAGGGGCGGGGCTCCGATATACGTTGGGTCCGCCCATTCGCTGGGTCCCCAGCCAGCATTCGGTGGCTGGCGCGCGGGGCGCCTACTTCTGGGCGGGGATCATGTCATCGATGGAGCCGCCCTTCTCCAGCTTCTTCTCCATCTCCACCATGAGCTTCACGCCATCCACCACCAGCTGCACCTGCTCCACCTCAGACGAACCCAGCCGATCAGCGTTGGACACGTCGAACACTGAGCCCACGGCGGCGGTGTCCACGCCACCTGCGGGAACCAGGGGACAGAGAGGCGTGAGAAAGTTCAGGAGCCTCGCGCCGGTTGTGCACCTTTCTGGGGCTTAAGTCTCCGGATTTCGATAGCCCACCCGTCAATCATTCAACCTGGAAATAGATCCGTGGCCCGGTTCTGCAGTTAGCCTGCTGATCCTGCCCGCCCTTACAGAGAGGGACACTGAGGCCCTGGTGGGAGCCGGGGGACACGCACAAGGCAGGTTATAGAATCGCGATGGTCACATGGACTGCTAAGAGGTGGGCGTGCTCCGCCCATTCTGTAGAGAAAGCAACTGATGGTTGCAAAGGGGCAGCCCTTGTCCCACCCCAGCTTCGAACCGCGTGGGTGGCCCCGACATGCTGGGCTGTGTCCTTTGAGTTCAAAGTCTTCAAACGCCGTGGGGCGAGGGGGCGGGGCGGGGCGGAGCTGGGGGAGCAGCACACACCTGTGCCCCGCTTCTGCAGGCGCAGGCGGGTGAGGATCTCCTCGAATTTGGGGTGCTTGCTGAGGTTCGCCAGCTTCACGTGCACGCCTCCACGCAGCCCGGTGCCCAAGTTGGACGGGCAGGTGAGCACGTAGCCCAGGTGCTCGTTCCACATGAAGGGGTGGCCGGCCTTCTTGAAGATCTCCTCAATCTGAGTGGGTCAGAGGAGGAGAGACCGGGTGATCGCAAGAAGGCGCCCCCTCCCACACACCCCATGCCGGGATGGGGGTCTACAGATGACGAGGGGAAGGTCCGGCCCTCCCAAGCAGAGGCAGGATTCTGAGTGGCTAGGTTCCAGGATCCAGGACGAGTGGGAAGGCAGGGGCTGAGGTGGATTCTGGGGCAAGGGGGAATGGGGGGGTGGCGCACAGGAACGAATGTGGGCGGGGCAAGATCAGAGGGGCAGAGCGTGAGAAGCATCACTCCAGGACCACAGCAGTCATGCCACCCCAGGGTGAATTGCTGCTCCGTGCTGTGAGCCCCTCGGGCTGCAGGGTGTCAAAAAGCAACACTCGAAGGGTCAGGCCAAGGTCAGCAGTTCGAAACGACCAGCCACTCCTGGGGGAAAAGGTGAGGCTTTCTATTCCCATATGCGTTTATCGCACAGCGGCAGTTCTACTCTGTCCTAGAGGGTCGTTATGAGTGGGAATCGTCTCGATGGGATGGCGTTTGCAGTTCTTTTGAGAAGAATCGGGCCAAGGATGGAGGCACCAGAAGCTGGGATTTGAGTCAGGGGACCAGAAGCCGTCGGTCAGGACGAAGACAGGGCGAGAAGCACGGTTGGGTGTCGGATCATAAGGGTGAGTGGGGGGTCAGAGTCGAGCCAGGCTCAGCAGTAAGGAGCAGACACCCACCTTCTGCAGCCCCACGCAGAAGCGGCGGAACACCTCCTTCATGTTGCCCCCCTTCTCCATGGAGATGACCCGGAGGTGATCCTCCTCGTTCACCCACACCAGGAAGCTCTTGTTGTCGTTGTGCCTAGGGAGGGGGCAGGCACGAGGAATAGGAGTCAGCTGAAGGAGGGGAGCAGTAAGAGAGGACTCGATTGGCCACCTGCCCCCCCCCCAAACTCATAGCCACCCAGAGGAGGGCAAGGGGATGACAGCTGC